ATAAACATGTTTGAAGTTAGGTGATTCTTGCTGGAAATTGGTGTTATAGAGTTACGTGTTTAATGGTGTTGGAGGTGAAATTTTGTCCAAGAATAGAACTCAATTGCATATTTATCATTATCCTAACCTTCTCTAATTGCAAGGTGAGTTCCATTAGATAGAATTTGGATAGAATAATGGGAAATTATTGCATGTTGGGGTTTTGGGAGAGATGAAATGTTATGTATGCTTATTCAATTGATGAAAATGTGTTTTAATAGTTATAGTATATGTATTGGATCATCACTGCATGTTTGGGATCAGATTAGGATTGTTTGGATTTGAGAAAAATGGGTTTTGTAGCATAAAAACGCAGAAAAATTGATTCTGGGTAGTGAAAATCAATTATCCCATTTGGGAAATTGATTTTCAGTGTGAAAATTGGGGGAAAATCATTTTTGGAGTGGAGGAAACCGATTTCCTTAAAAGGGAAACCGATTTCCTGAAGCGCTGGTAGCAAATTTTGTAAAACTTAGGAAATTCATAACTTTCGCCTCGGGTATCAAAATGACGTGTGGTTTGTATCGTTAGAAAGCTAATTAAATGTACTTTCTAATAAATTTAGTTCCCAAACCATAATGTTTAAATTAAAGGATAATCAAACCCTATTTAATATGTTTTTTGGATAGAATTCACATGTTTATATTCCCCAGGAGTGCAATATCGTTCTGTTTAGGGAACCAAATGTCTCCTTTTAAATCTCTGATTTTACAAAGGGTGTTTGGACTACAAATACCATGAATTTGATTTCTTAAACTGTTATGAGTATACATATGAGCATGATGGAAATGTTTTATATTTCGAATGTCATGGTATGGTTTTGTATGCTCTCGTTCGTTCCGGTTGAACGTTCATATGAATTTGTTGTATGGCTAATGTGATTGTGTGACATATGCTTGAATCAAAGTAGACCAAGCTAGATAGTAAATTACTTATGAGGTTATGTTCTCTGTACCTCCGCGATGATGTATGTGATCCTATCGACGTTATCTGTAAGTCGAATGTATCTGAGCTACCATTCTGATGCGCTTGTGTGGGTCCGATATGTGGCATTTCACCAGCAGTTAATAACATTGCGTGCTTGGTATAGTGGGGAAGAAAATTTTCATGTAGGCAAATCTTGATTTTAACTCACCTCCACTGGTTCCAAGTAGGTTACACCGCTAGACTTTCACCCGGTGGGCTCGTGTTATCAAGACGATGTTTTGTACTGTGCTGGATTGTGTATCCCTCACACGTGCGTATTAATGTTCGATGGGGCCATGATGCCACGTTGGTAATGTCACTGCGTACACTCGTCACATAAGGACTTCCATTTAGGATTTTTCCGTTTCATCATCTCTGTGCTGATACAAGTCTCTTGACGCGATGCACATGGTTACTCACCGATGATGCAAAAGTGTAATATATGATACAGGTAGAACTTACTTCTAGATTCCTCATACATGGGTAGAGATCTGCATATTGTTTGTGGCCATTATGTCGGGCCTTGTGCTGGATACTTATATGTGGATTGTGGCATTGTGCTGGTTATGTTTTCTTTTTTCCTTATTGATTAGTAATGGGACTACCAATGGTGGTGTATCTTGTTGTGCATGTTTGCACTAGACTGTGAGGAAAAACTCTGGATTCGCGGTGAATCAGTTTTGATGCATGTACCTTATAGAACCGAGTGGAACCATAAGATATGAGAACTCACTGAGATTTAGTAATCTCACCCTATTCCAATTATTTTTTTAAAGAACAGGTTTTAGACAGAAGAATTGCCAAATGGTCAGTATTGAAGACTGCAAACGAGTATATGGCAGGAAGACTTCATCAGATCTGATCTTTCCGTTGTGTATTGCTGATGACAAGTTGGTTATATATGTCTGAATATTAGAGTGGTGTTGTATACGATTTTAAATTCTTGTCTTTTCCAAATTATTGTATGTTTCTATGTACCATTTATAGTACACTGTATATTATTCTAGACATATATGTATGAGGTGTTACATTGTTAATTTTTATCATTTTATTTATAAAAAAATTGTAATAATTTTTGTTTTAAAATATACCTTTATAGTTCTAAAATTAATAAAATTATAATAGAAATGATATATTTTGATATCGGAAACAAACACAAAAGAGAGGAAGAAAAATAAATTGTAAAAAAAAATTAAATAAAAAACTCATTTTGAAAAACAAATCCTATTGAATTTTAAAAAAGAAAATAAATTTTATAAGTTAAATAGAAAAAATTTAAATTTAAATAAATAAACATTAGCCTTTAAATTTGTGATCATCATACGAATTTCACTATGATTCTATTTGATAAAAATAACAATTGACTGATAAGTTAGCTGATAGCTTATAATTTATGATTGAAGATTGATGATTAATAATTTATATCTTATAGCTGATGACTTATAGTTGATAAGGTAGTTGAAATATTGGATAAAATTAGGGATTCAATTAGTCAATAAATTAAAATGACATAAAAAATATTTAATATATAATTATTTTATTTTAAATAAAAATAAATTATAAAAGATAATGATGAGTTTTAGTTAAAATAATAAAGGCGAAAATGGAAGAAAAAAATGATAAATTATAAGTTATAAGCTAAAATACCAATTGAAATGGCATTTAAAAAATAAGTTAGAAGCTAGTAAAATAAACTATATGTTCATAATAATAAAAAATATAACCAAACAAGTCTTTTATTGTCATATGAGCTTATAAATTATAAGATAAAAAAATACTACTAAAAAAATAAAATTAAAGAGGTTAGTATTCAATCACAAAAATATTAAAATTCCGTCACAAATCTGTTTAGTGACGCAACCATATCGAATCAAATTTACATGTCATAAAATAATGAGAGATTTAACATTCTATCACAAATGAATATGGAATAAATCCGTCACTAATTGTAACATTTGTCATTAAGTATCAAGAAGTAAAACACTTCAATGCATATATTTCCATCAATAATTAGTGAGGAGATGAATTTATTCCATCACAAATTTGTGACATAAACGGTTTCCCTCACTAATTTACAAGGCAAATAATTAGTGACCTTTCTTTTCCTCGCTAATTTACGAAGAATATTAGTTAGTGACATTTCTTTTCTCTCACTAATTAGTGAAAACTTTCATAAGGCAATAAATTTTGAAAATTTTCAACCTTATTTAATTCATTATATTAATAGGGGAAAATGAATTTCTTCATTTAAACAAAATGAAAATAATTCATACATAATAAAAAGTCACTTTAAATCGTGTTTGTGTTTATCATAATATTTATTTTCAAATCATGACTAATGATACTAGACGTGTATTCTTGAAACTAGATATTAAAACCAACATAATCCTGAAATTTTTCTTGAAACTAAAATTACAACGAAAATAACACTAACATTATTCTTGAAACTAAAATATTACAATCAAAAGTGTATCCTAAAAACAATCTTATATTGTATATCAAGTAAGAGAAGAAGGAGTTGGATCCCGATATGGAGGTTGATGGTCTAAATAAAAACTTTCAATAAATTCAAAATGGATTAAAGAAACCAAAAGCTTAGTGTCATTGGAATATAGCAAGACCAACATATTGCTACTAGCAAAAAGAGCAATAATGATACCCCTTCATTTTCTATTTTGTCCCTTCTGGATTTTGTCAATCTCTGATAAAAGAGAATACTCATCATTAAACACACTCTACCACTATATAACAATAAAATCAAAATAGAATTTGTAAAAAATTATTCATGAAAAGATAATAAAAACCAAGCAGACATGAGAGTGGGACAATTGTTTCTGCATATACAAACCAAAGCCTTGGTTTTTCAAAGCCATCAGACACGTGATTCTCTACATAAGCAATAAAGAAAATGAAAATGAGTTTATGGTTCACATTAGCCACATATTCAAAATATAAGCTCCAAAAGAAAGAAAAAAAACATTTAATCAATAGTGAAGTAATAACAACTCCCCTTGATAATTTTGAATTAACTAAGATATATATATATATATATATATATATATATATATATATATATATATATATATATATATATATATATATATATATATATATATATATATATATATATAAAAGCTAGGTAAATTGACACAATAAGAATAGTGGTTAGTTGATAAGCTAATCGATAGTTTACAGTTTATAATTTACTGTTGATAATTGATGACTTATAACTAATAAATTAATTGAAGTATTTCATAAAAATAATAATTTAATTAATTGATAAATTAAAATAACATAAAATAAATTTAATATATAATTATTTTATTTTAAATTAAAATAGTTATAAACATCTAAGCTAAAACAGTTGGAGAAAATCCAAAATGTATGAGCATGTTGCTCAGTTTATGCTATAGGTTTTGATTATTTTCTTTATAGTGTGATTAGGGGTTAGGAGCTGGACCTTCGGAATTGCTTTCTACTTGAATGTATTTAATATAATATCTTATTTCTCAAAAAAATAGTTATAAAGAGTATTAGTAGATTTTAATTAAAATAATAAAAGTGAAAGTTAAAGAAAAAAGATAAATTATAAATTAAAATGTTATTTGAAATAGTATCTGAAAAATAAATTATAAATTAATATAATAAATTAAAAGTTAATATAATAAATTATAAGTTTGTAATGAAAAGATAGTTATCAAAGCAGTCTTTTATTATCCTATAAATTTTTATAAGCCATAAACTATAAGTTTGTCTAACATAACATATATTTAACACAAATAATAATTACACCTGACATCTAATTTTAATTAAAATGGATTCTCTTTTCAAATCAAGTCAATAAAAATATTTAATTGACTTTTTTAGAGTAATTTTCGGTCATATTCAATGTATCAAATTAAAATAAATTTATATGTCCCTTGTGCAGTCTCACAATATGCATATATAAATACACACATAGAGTGTAATATTTCATACATACAAGATACAAAAAGATGAATACTACAAGGAAATCTCTTGTGGCCATTTTATTCTTATTGGCCTTCTTCGTCTCTGCATCAGGTTTGAAACTAATCGATGTGCTTTTTGATTCAATTAATTTTTCAAATTTTCACTTTTAACATATAATACTAATCTTATGTTCACATGATTGTTTCAATATGTAGATGTTTGCGCTGAAGGAGTATTATATTGTAAAAAAGATCAAGATTGTAATTCAAATTGTCAATATCCTAATCTAGGACGGTGTCTTAAGGGAAGATGTTGGTGTTTTACTCCACCATCTTCTTCTAATGAGAGACCTAGTCAAATACCCTAGATGGAATTCATTATTTAATATTGTGATGTAATCATCATGTTTGAATAAAATTATAATAAATAAATGTCTTATTTTATTTCATTGTAGTATTTTATCTATCATTTATATGAATATTCCACTACTACTACTACTATCATATAAATTAATATTTTTTTCTTTTATTTTTTACCTTTGTGCTTTGAAAATCGTTCTTAGCTTATTATTCTGTTATGGTCTTGTGCTCTGAAAAATAGATTTTAGCTGGTTTTTCTCTTGTCCTTTAAAAATCCTTCTTATCTTATTCATGTGATGATATCATTTATTGGTGTCTTTTTTCAAAACTTTTGTTATATTATTATATTATATAATTAATTTTTTAACATTTTAAATTTATTATAATATTTTGTTGTATAATTATTAATAAATAAGTTTAATGAGAATTATATTAAAAAGAAATATTGTAACTATATAATATATAATTCTCCTTTTTTTTAACCAAATCAATTATCAAAATATTCATGGTGTAGATTTGCATTTGGCAAAACTACCATTCTAATTGTTTTGAAATATTATAAGTCTAATTCTTAGAATTTAACAAAATATTATTTTTATAATTTTAATATTATTTAATTATAATAAATAATTAATATAATTATAAATATTAATCAAATCGGATTTCTAAAATAGAGCACTAAAACATAAGAAAAATGAAAAATAGAGGAATAAATATTATAATTCAGTTAAAAAATAAATATAAAAAGATCAATTATCTGGATTAGAAATTCATCGGTTAATTGGTCTGACCAAAATTAGCTGGATCATATTAATTTTCACTAGTTCAATTGTAACTAGTGTAACCAACCCGATTAAATCCGACCAAACAGAACAATCTGAATTTTAAAAATTGCTCTCAATATTAAATCATAATTTTAAAATATATATATATATATATATATATATATATATATATATATATATATATATATATATATATATATATATATATATATATATATATATATATATATATATATATATATATATATATATATATATATATATATATATATATATATATATATATATATATATATATATATATATATATATACTCTTCTATGAGAATGTGAGAATTTAATAATAATCATTGAATTTATTATTAACGGTTGAGATTAAAAGATTTTTTTAAAATTTGATTAATGATTTCTCTTTCTTCTTAATGGCACAATTTAGTAAAAACTATAATTTAATCTCAACCATTCTTTTTAAATGTGATGATTCTTATTTATTTTCACATTCTCATATAACTTATTCATTCTCACTAAATATTCTCTCATGTGCGTGTGAGGGACGACTCAAATGAGAAAATTTAATTATTATGAAAAATAAAAACAATCAATTATAATCCTCCATTTGTATTAAATAAAATTAGTTATGTTAATTAAAATAAACATACAACAAACGAGATACTCTAATCTTTATTTTGAATTTGAAATCTTAATATTAATCGAAGAATATATATTTAGTAAAAATAAATAATATTTTCAATATGATATGAATAGTGTTAATTTATTATATATATATATATATATATATATATATATATATATATATATATATATATATATATATATATATATATATATATATATATATATATATATATATATATATATATATATATATATATATATATATATATATATATATATATATATATATATATATATATATATATATATATATATATATATATATATATATATATATATATATATATATATATATATATATATATATATATTTATTTATTTATTTATTTATTTTTTGAAATATTTTAATATGACAAAAATACATAATTTGTCAAAAAAAATATTCAATAATGACTCACTAAAATCTATTACATATGACATCAAGTTCTAATAAATTTTTAAAATTTTAAAAGGAGGCGTGCGTGACAGAAAGGTAAAAAAAATTAATCTAAATTTTAATAAAAATCTTTAAATTATTTATCTTAAACTTTTTTGAAAGACATTATTTACCATGTATATGTAGTTCTATGGAAATAGTATTTAAAAATATCTATAACAAAGAAAAATATATATTGCAAATAGAATTATTTTATAACATGTAACATAACTATCTATATAACAACATTTTATAATAAGAAAATTTAAATTGCAAATATCATAAACAATACATATATATATATATATATATATATATATATATATATATATATATATATATATATATATATATATATATATATATATATATATATATATATATATATATATATATATATATATATATATATATATATATTCTATTTATATCTTTTTTAAAATATAATCTTCATATTGTTACATATATTTGATAAAAACATAAAAATGATACATTTAAAAAAAATTTATTTAAATAAAAGAAAATTTTAAATAGTTTCTTATAAAAATTTGAGAAAATGAAGCATTAGATAATTTTTTATATTAAAAGAGTAGTAATACGATTAAATAAAAATATTCTTCTTTGAATCCATCATGTATATCAATAGAAATATATAGACATTTGGTTGTTGATTGTGATTTAGTTTTATGTAAAAAATAATTGTTCTCTTTAAGAATGTTGTTACAATATATTTCTCTTAAGTTTTAATTATTTTATATTTAAATTAATTAAATGGTTATGATTTAATGATAAGAGCGTTTGAGAAGGGTGATCAAGATTATTATGTCAAGTTTTTAACTTATAAGGGTGGTAAAGGAGTAATGTTTCAATTAGATATGCTGTTTATCAACAAGAAGATGATAAGGGATGCAATAAAGGATTATGTAATGGAAAATGGATAAAATATTTTCAAAAGCATGGTAATTAATGTTAGAGTTGATCATAATTTTATGATTTCTATTGATATAGAAATCAAAAAAAGAAATCTAAATTAATCCATATGAGTCGAATATGGCATCAACTCGCATCATTAATACTCATATTAGAATTCAATCAAAGAATGAAAGCGAAAACATATTTGAGTTTGTCGTTAAAATCGTTGGAATCGTTGAAGGATGTGAGTATGTGATCTTTCGATTTGTAAAGTTCCTTATGGTTTCTTGACTCTCTTATGACTGGGATGAAGAGAGAAACTTGAAAATTCGTGTTTTGTCAATCGCTTTATAAATGGGGACCATAACCCATATAGATAATCGTAGGGTTATTTCTTAATTTTTAATAATATAATTTGACCCCTCATCAAATTAGATATTGACTTATGTATCTACACAATAACATTTCATGACATATATGCCCCTAGTGATAGGCTTAATATCAATTATACCACTTTAGTTTTGGCTAATTAAACACCAGAATTTTGGGGAAAACTTATGATATTTTCAAAATCTACCTTCAGTGAACGTGGGTAGTACATCGGCAGTGAACGTTGGTGTTTCTTATCTTTTTGCTATCATCAGTGAACGGTGGTAGTTCCTCGTTGTTTACAGTGATTTCTGGTAAACAACCGCTAGTCCTCCAAACTATCAAATAATCTTAATGACTGTTATTTAATCTCTCTGGTAACTTGAAGGATCGACTAGATTGATCCTATGGGGTATTGGTCGTTTGGATAGTTCTAATTGTAAAACTGATATTCATAGTTAGGATTTGTATTTGGAATTTTTTATAGACGTTCAACTCACTTCGATTACCATATTAAAAGGATCTAATGACATGATCAAGTAAAGACATGCGAAACTAAATTGCATGAACAAAGATTCGATTGCAAAGAAGTATAAAAATGCAAGAAACAAGTAAATAACTTTGAAGTATAAAAGCATGAAACGTAAAAGAATTTCGGAAACGTAAAGGATTCGAAATAGAAGGAAAACGTTTAAATGCAAGAAATCAGTAAATGACTTTGAAGGTAAAGGTATTCGAATGACAAAAGCATGAAGATAAAAGCATGAAATGTAAAAGAGTTTCTGAAATGTAAAGGATTTGAAATAGAAGGAAAACGTTTAAATGCAAGAAATCAGTAAATGACTTTGAAGGTAAAGGTATTCGAATGACAAAAGCATGAAGATAAAAGCATGAAATGTAAAAGAGTTTCTGAAATGTAAAGGATTTGAAATAGAAGGAAAACGTTTAAATGCAAGAAATCAGTAAATGACTTTAAAGGTAAAGGTATTCGAATGACAAAAGCATGAAGATAAAAGATAAACTGGAAATGATAAAGAGTTTTACTGAATCATAAATATTTGGTGTTATCATACGTACATTGTTCGAGCATTCGTTTCCCTAGCCATGTGGTATTTTGAATGTTTACTGAATTTTGTACAATAGATATGACACACGAAATCCTAACGCTAAGACTTCTATTTATACTACTTCGACCATAACGGTCTTGCCTATAAGATTCTGCCACGTTCAGAACATGCAGAGCACCGCTCCTCTCTAGCTTCCACGCGTCTTCGAACGCTCCAGCGCATATATTTTTAAATTTCGAACATCCCGCTTGCATTTGAATTTCAAATGTTTTGGCATTCTCCGCTTCGAACTCATTTCTTAAACACAATCTCATTACCACTTCGAGACTTCTTTTAAATATATCTTCACAACTGTCACTCGAAGCTCCGAGCTTTGACATGTTCATTCGAAGAACTGCTTCTACCATTCCGAACCATAACATCTTGCTTTTTTTCCAACGAAACATCCAACTTGCTTCGTTTCGAACTGTGTCATCAAAATCTTCAGCCAACAAAATGTCCCTTTAAAATATGTATTTCGATCCTTTGAGAAACACTTATTTTAAATATATATGCAAGATTTTGATGTGACCTTTGAGTAATCGTAACATTTATTGTGTATGACTCCAGTCACGTCAATCATGGCGCCTTTTGGATTCCTTAACCGTCTTGTATCAGTATTTTACAGCATGGTGCAGTTATAAAACAATGATTATTATTAATCACGCCTATTACCAATATCAGCCTTTACGCCACCTCCTTCTCAATCCAACCCACGACTCCCAC